CATAAAGGTGTATGTATCCCTTCAAATTAGTGTTTTCGTAATCTTTGGGTAAATACCAGTAGTGCAATTACTGGATCATAGAGTAGTTCTATTTTTTTTTTTTAAAGATTTTATTTATTTATTTAACAGACAGAGATTACAAGTAGGCAGAGAGGCAGGCAGAGAGAGAGAGGAGGAAGCAGGCTCCCCACTGAGCAGAGAGCCCGATGTGGGGCTCGATCCCAGGACTTTGAGATCGTGACCTGAGCCGAAGGCAGAGGCTTTAACCCACTGAGCCACCCAGGCGCCCCGAGTAGTTCTATTTTTAAGTTTTTGAGGAACCTCCATACTGTTTTCCACAGTGGCTACACCAGTTTGCATTCCCACTAAGAGCACACAAAGGATCCTTTTTCTTCACATCTTCATCAGAACTTGTTTTTTGAGTTTTTTATTTTAGCCATCTGCCAAGTCTGAGATGATATCTCATTGTGGTTATTTGCATTTCCCTGATGAGTGATGTTGAGCATCTTTTCATAGGTCTGTTGGCCATCTAAATGTCTTTTTTAGAGAAATGTCTGCTGATTTTATTACTTTTGTCTTCTAATATTCATCCTAGCTTCTTTAGTGATTGACCTATTAACTTTATGTTTACTTATGAGGTTTTTTCTTTTCATAATTTCCTAATTATGACTTATCTTTTTTTGCTTAGAGAAGTCTTTTTAACATTTCTTGTAAGGCTGGTTTAGTGGTGGTAAACTCCTTAACTTTTGTCTGGGAGACTCTATAATTCTGAATACCCTTGCTAGTTGGAATATTATTGGTTATAGGTTTTTCCTTTCAGCCCTTTGACTATATCCTACCACTTCCTTCTGGCTTGCAAAAATTCTACTGAAAAATCAGCTCATAGCTTCATGGGGTTTCCTTACACGTAACAAGATGCTTTTCTGTTGCTACTTTTAAGATACTTTATCTTTACTCTGACATTTTAATTAATAAGTGGCTCGGTGTAGATATCCTTGGGTTCATCTTGTTGGGGCTTCTCTGTGCCTCCTGGACCTAGATGTCTGTCTCCTTCCCCAAGTTAGGGAAATTTTTAGCTATTACTTCTTCAAATTTTCTGCCCCCTTCCTTTTTCTGGGACCTCCATCAAGTGAATGTTAGTATACTTGATGTTGTCCTAAGGATCTCTTAACCTATCCTCATTTTTAAAAATCCTTTTAGGATTTTGCTGTTCAGCTTGGATCCTTTTCATTACCCTGTTTTCTACATTGCTGATCCTTTCTTCTGTATCTTCTCATCTACTGTTGATTCCCTTTGTATATTTTTCATTTCAGTTACTTTATTCTTCAACTGGTTGGTTCTTTATACTTTTTGTCTTTGTTAAAGTTCTGAGTTTATCCACTCAAGTCCAGTGAGCATCTTTATGACTATTACTTTTGAGTTCTTTATCATGTAGATTGCTAGGCTCTCTTTATTTTTCTGAAATTTTGCTTTCTTCTTTTGAAGCCTATTCCTCTATCTCATTTTGTTTAATTTTCTGTGTTTATGTAAATTACACAGAACAGCTATTTCTCTTAGACTTGAGGTAATGACCTTGTGTAGGAATATGTACAGTGTAGACTGTGCCTGTGACTTTAGCTGGCTGGTTGAACCCGTAACAGGTGTAGGCTGGGAGTCCTGGTGTGTCCTAGCCATGAAGCATCCTGGTAGGATGGCTGGAGCCCAAGTGGGCAGCAGGGGGTGGAAGTGGGGCATCCTGGCAAGGTGGAAGGAGCTGAAACATAACCAGGTGGTCCTTGGGTACTGCATGCAGGGGGCACTATGCCAGAACTGCTGGAACCAAAGTGGCTTTGGGCTAGGAGTCACAGGGTGCTCCGTGTAGAGTGCACCTTGATGGGACAGCAGGAGCTGAAGCAGGTGCGGGCCCAGGGATCCCAAGGCACTCCATGCAGGGAGTACCCTGACAGGATGGCTGGAGCTAAGACAGATGCCATCCAGGAGGGCTCAGGGCTCTCTGCACTTGGGGCACCCTGGCAGGTCAGCTGCTGCTGAAGCAGGTTTGGGTTGGGAGGCTCAGGGCCACTCGGTACAGTTGGTGCCCTGGTGAGTCATCTAGAGCTGAAGTGAAACAGGTACGGGCCTAGGAAGCTGCATGATGATTAGGCCTGTGTTACTTGGCAAGACAGGTGGAGCTATAGTGGGTGCTGTCCAGGGGTGGTTCATTGTACACTGCACTGGGGCTACCTTAGGGAGACTGCTAGAGCTCTAGCAGGTGTGGGTTGGAAGGCCACCTGTAGGGGCAGCTGGTTTTGGTGGGGTAGGGGGCTTGGCTTACCAGGGAGGTGGCTAGGGTACCCAGACCCTGCTTTTATCTGCTATGAAGGGGAGGAGGGGAACATAAACCATGGCCCTCACCAGCATCTTAGATACTAATGTGTGCAAGCAGCTCCCTGGCCTTTTGGAAGATGCCCTAGGGCTCATTCCATTATCTTCCAGTTGTTCTTTTAATCTACAGACTTTTTTCCTGTGCAGCAGGGCAGCTGGGGCTAGTGTGGTCTAAGGCACTGAGGCTCACTGAAGCAGCAGGCCAGCTTGGATACCTGTACCCTGCTCCTGTCTGCTGTCAGGGTGGACAAGAAATAGAAACAGTGATGCTGGCCAGTACCTGGGACCCAGGGAGAGGGTCCCTGCCATTTTTCAGATGCTCTATAGCTGGTTCCTTTATATTTTAGATGCCCTTTTAAAGTGCATCTTTTTCTTCTGTGCCACAAGGGCTGAGCTGTACTTCTCGTTCCTTGGTACTTATTATCTTCCCCACTGCACTTGGCAAGATTGGGGCGGGGGGGGTGTTTGATTCCTGTTAACTATGTCTCCATCTCTCCAACCTTTCTCTGCATGGTCCCTTGATCCCTGTTCAGTCAACCCTCAGTTCTGCAAGGGGAATTGCTCAACATGTAGGTGTAGATTCGCTGTGTTGTGGAGGAGGTGAGCTGAGGGTCTTTCTACGTCAATGTGTTCCCTCCTTCTTTTAGGTGTCTATGGACACATAATGAAGTTATGATAGAATAATTTTAGCCTTAAAAGTTTGCTAGAGAAGTATCACTGTTCCTAAAATACTTTATAACCCTGGCACTTGATGGAATGATTCTTAAAAGCTGCTTCTTAATCCTCTCATTTTCTATTCTCATATGGGCATATAGGTTGAGAAATCTAGTTATCACTATTTACTTCTAATTTGAGGGTTAAATTTTAAAACCTACTAATGGCACTTTGAGAGGTAATTGAGACTTTGTTTTCATAAAAGAACCAAATACTAGTCTCTTTGAAAGTCAGGGGGCGCCTGGGTGGCTCAGTGGGTTAAAGCCTCTGCCTTCAGCTCAAGTCATGGTCCCAAGGTCCTGGGATCGAGCCCCACGTTGGGCTCTCTGCTCGGTGGGGAGCCTGCTTCCCTCTCTCTCTGCTTGCCCCTCTGCCTACTTGTGATCTCTGTCAAGTAAATAAATAAAATCTAAAAAAAAACAAACAAACAAACAAAACAACAAATTGTTTTGGATGTGCCACTGACTTCTTGGTTTTATTTTAGCTTTAGTTATCCAGTCCCCAGTAACTTTGGTCTTATTGCAGGGAAAGAGTGACTATATTTGTGTGAGAAATGCCAGAGTTGACTTCTGGGTTCCACCTTCACTGTAGGAAGATGCCTCAGGAAAAGCTGGCCACGAATGCCTAAGTTTGCCCAAATGCCCAGATTGGGCTTGGCATTGGAAAGCTTGTGTTATCCTGTTGCCTAATGACCTTTGGAGAATACCTGCAGATAAAGCCCATTAAAATGTCAAAACCTGGTATTGCATTCTCCAACTGTAAAGAAATACAGGAGAGGTGGGGAAGCAATACACTACGGTGGGTTTCCCATGTAGAACTCTGGATTTCACTGGGCTGTTGGTGTCACCTAGTCTCCAGTTCTTGCTAAGATACCTTGAGGGATAGAGAACTTACCACCTCCTCCAAGTCCCAGCTATCTTTAGACAATGTGACAAATATTTCCTTTTACTTCTGCTTTCTATATAAGACGGCTCAGCAAGAAAGCAATTTCTGAAAAAGTAACATCTCCTCTTCCACACTTACTACTGTGGAGTTGCTCCACTCTGATTCCTTGAGTCAGAGGGTTATTTTATTTATATTTGATGTGCCTGGTGGCAGTGACCAGTGTTAAAAAAGTGCCTGCAGGACCTTTGTGGTAAGTATATTTAAGGACTAAAGAATTTTCTCCCCAAAAGCTTTCCAGAAATATAACCTGCAAAGGCTCTGTGAAGCATGCTCTCTGGAGATTATACATAACCTATACTCCTTATTATATATAGTTATATATACGGTCTATGGAAAGTAATGGTCTTAATCTTTGATTAGTAAGCATGACTTTTAAAAAGTAAATAATGACATTTCATTGAAAATTACTTTTGAGAATATTATATGCAATCAATTGTGAGGGGTATTTACTGGAAGTGACTTGGGAAAGAAGCTGAGTGTTCTTTAGAAGATTGTATTAAGTGCCTTATAAGATATAATTCATCTTTTTAGTGTTTTAGAAATAAAAATGTTAAACAGGATTACCTTTTAGATGAAACCTTATCATTTTTTTTTTCATTCAGGTGATGTAAACATTCTATGGTTTTAAAGTAGTTCTCACTGCTAAGCTTCTTTCCACAGCTTCTTTTTCCGAAGTGGAAAGACTTCATTTTCATTTCTGAGAACTTGATAGCTTTTCCTGACATAATGAAGAACATGTTATAGATTCGGGCTTTTAGGTTCCTTTCCAACTTAAGAATATGTTTGATCTTTCATTCTTTTCCTGAGATTTCTTCTCTGCCTTTATTAGTAAACCCTTCTGTCTCTGGGAATTTTGCTAAATCAGAAAGACTTCATCTCTCTGCTGTGACAAAAATCCCCTCTGCTGTGTAGAACACAGGAGCCCCTTAGTCCTCCTTATTTCATGGATATGCATTTAATATTTTTGGTCTTTTCAGACTGACCCCAATTCTTGGCATTCAGAAGCATTCTCAGGAAAATGTGGTGTTTACACAGTTTATAGAGACTTTGCTTGAAGAATTACATTTAAAGAATGAAGACCTTGAAAGCTTAACCAGCATATTTAAAACCAGCTGTTAACCACGGAGTGGTGAGTTGGATTGTGTTTTGTTTTTTCATTTGTTGCCTGTTCGGAATCTTTTCTCATATTCAGAATTTTAAAAACCAAGTATAGATCTCAAGATGTCCTCAGTTTGCTAAAGAAGAACATACTATCCCTTAGTCCTCAGTTGCCCTATCACTGTGTGTCCGCTCTTGTTACTCTCTGCCCCATCCTTGTTGTTACAACTCCTTATAGTTACTGCACTTAGTTCTGTTTCTGGTGCTCCAGAAAACTCTCTCCTGCCAGCTTCACAGTCGAACCTAGACCATGCTTCATGTGCCATCTTACTGATTGAAGTAAATTGCTCTTTCTGGGAAGAAACCTCACTACAGCCATCCACTGAGAACATCCTCGCCCAATTCCCTCTTTGAGGAAACCATCCCCAACCCATTTACTACTTCAGTCATCTCCTGAGCAGATAACTAGGTGAATGTCTAAGCCCCACTGTTGAATCCTAACGCTTTTCCCACACACAGCCCTCCCCTCATCTCCCAGCTTCTTGCCTCTTCCACAACTACCAGAGTGTCCCCTTCCTCAGCCTGCCTTCGGCATACCTCTCTCCCTTTCCTCCACTTACTTCTCACTTTGTGCTCTCAGGTGCTCAGATAGTTACTGATTTAATGTTATGATTGAAGAAATTCAGCTGAAACTACAAGTGAAACCCTCCCAGGAACATTTTCCTTTTTTAAACTTTCAATTTCTTAAGTTATACAAACTTGTTATAAAAATTGAACAATACAGAAGTGCATAGGTAATTTAGAAAAGGAAAATCCACCTTTTACTCTGCCTCCAATCCTGTCTACTTTACAGAAACACATTTGATATATATCATTTTATGTTTTGTAAAAACAGAACCAAAACACTCCTCAAGCACATTTTTAAATATATGAGGAGGATTTTTCAGGGAAGAATTTTGGCAGGGAAAAAAGAACAGCATGCCTTTATTGAACATACTCAAAAATTGAATATTAGGAGTCAGCACTGTCCTTGCCTCCCTATTCATACTCACTGACTTTTTCATATGACCCTGTTCGCCCATGGACCTTGTAAAACAAAAGCTTTTACTTAGGGAGTGGGCTTAGACTGGCCTGTGTAGCCATCAATTTAGAGGCCCTTCTAAGAATATAGCGAAGTTGGAGTTTGTTTTATTGAGCTTCAGATACAGAAAATTGATCTAAAAAAAAAAATGCCTTAACCAGAGGTCCTTCCAGATCAGCTTTAATAGTACCAAGTAAGAATCATTTTAATTAACATATTTAAAAACTTGTATGTAAACCGATGTTGAAAGTCCTCAAAAGTACTTTCACAACAGTAGATGTTTTAAGTGGACTTAACATTTCCTCTGTGATCACTTTTTACTTACCGCAGATAAATAATGTAAATCATCAAAGGTAAACCTTTGCCAAACTTTCGTCAATATTATAAGGGATTCTTTTTTTTTTTTTTTTTTTTTTTAAAGATTTTATTTATTTATTTGTCAGAGAGAGAGAGAGAGAGCGCGAGAGTGAGCACAAGCAGATAGAGTGGCAGGCAGAGGAGAGGGAGAAGCAGGCTCCCTGCCGAGCAAGGAGCCCGATGCGGGACTCAATCCCAGGACGCTGGGATCATGACCTGAGTCGAAGGCAGCGGCTTAACCCACTGAGCCACCCAGGCGTCCCATTATAAGGGATTCTTAATGAATTGAGCCCTCGTACATAATTTTCCCTATGAGAAAAAGAGATAGCTGAGAGTAGGTAGATCAGTTTTTTTTCTCTTAACATGATTTTTGTAAATCATAAGTCCACTTGTATATAAAGACTAATGTCTAATATACTTGCTACTAGTAATTTAATACTGAAAAGTTTGTTAATGTTTTCAGTTGCAAATTTTAAAAATCCAGCTTTTCTTATGATTGAATGATAGTCATCTTTTGCTGCTTAACAATTTACTCCAAAGACCTTTTTTTTTTTTTTTTTTTAAATCTCACATTTTCTATGAGTCAGGAATCTGGACGCAGTTTAGCTCTGGGCTTCGGGCTCACAGTCTCATGAGTATGCAGTGAAGCTATCTGATAGGGCTACAATGTCATCTGAAGGCCCAACTAGAGGAAGATCCCCTTCTAAGGTCACTCTTGTCATTGTTGGCAGGACTTACCTGCTCACAGGCTGGTGCCCTCAGGGCCTCAGTGTCTCACTGGCTGTCATCCAGGGACCTCTATATAGTGTACCCCATACTGGTCATGTGCCTTACCCTCATAGTGAGCAAGATGGAAGTGGGGCGCCTGGGTGGCTCAGTGGGTTAAAGCCTCTGCCTTCGGCTCAGGTCATGATCCCAGGGTCCTAGGATCGAGACCCGCATCGGGCTCTCTGCTCAGCGGGGAGCCTACTTTCTCCTCTCTCTCTGCCTGCCTCTCTGCCTACTAGTGATCTCTGTCTGTCAAATAAATAAATTTTAAAAAAAAATTAAAAAAAAAAAAAAAGATGGAAGCCACACCTTTTTGTAACCAATCTCAGAAGTGACATCCCATCACTTTTTTCATGACAAGTTAGAAATTAATCACTAGGTCCATCCCACATCATAGTGAAAGGACTGCATAATGGCATGAATACTAGAGATAATCATTGGTGGCCGTCTTCGAAGCTGAGTGGCAAAATTGTTCAGGAGTTCCCAGCTTCGTATGTAGTATATTCCAATGTCTTGGTAAGAGTCTTGAACTTCACATTAATTGAGGGCACCCCTGAACCAGTGCATGTGCCCATGGGATTGCTATAAACTAACCCAACCATCCTGACTAGGGATGAGGGGAGAGAAAAGAGGATTTTCTTTCTTTCTTTCTTTCTTTTTTTTTTAAGATTTTATTTTTTGACAGAGATCACAAGTAGGTAGAGAGGCAGGCAGAGAGAGAGGAAAGGAAGCAGGCTCCCTGCCGAGCAGAGAGCCTGACTCAGGGCTTGATCTCAGGACCCTTGATTCATGACCCGAGCTGAAGGCAGAGGCTTTAACCCACTGAGCCACCCAGGTGCCCCAAGGAGAGGATTTTCTTACTGACCTAGACCCATCATAGCCTTCCCTCAAGCTGAATGTGAGTTGGGTCTATTCCATATAAACCACTATTGCTACATAATGAGGAAAAAATGCAGTGTGTACTGGGAAGACAACAACAGTGTTCCCAAAAGCTAGTAAAATATTTTAAATGTTTTATTCAAACTGTCTTTTTCACTTCACAGGTATAATCCATGAAGACCAAATAGAAGATGAACTTCTATTCATCATTTCTGGAATTCTAGCCACAGTAATGTTCTGGTGGTAACAGATAACTAGCTTTGTTCCAAGAAAGACCTTTACCTCCTTAGATTTCAGCACCCTGGTTCCCAGTCCATAACTGTACAGTGGCTTCCCCTAGATAGAGGAGAACCACTTTTCCAACAAGGATAACCAAATCCTTGCATTCCTAGCTGTAAGACATAGTATTTTTATTTAATTGAAAAATGAAAAATTAAGTCTTAAGTTGAAACTTCAATAAATATTGGCCTTATTTTTTTCCGGGATGATTCCAGCCATCATATCGGTTGGCAAAACATTTGAGAACATTCCTATTTTGACATCACAATCTAAACTGTAGATTCTAAACAGTAAAAGGTTCAATAAATGCAATCCAAGATGAAGCCCTTTGGAAGTCTAATCATTATTCTTTTAAAGAAACTGCTATAAAATAGTCCTGAACAATGTGGTTAATCTTACAAGTCTAAAACAGGAATATTCCACAATTTTCTGGACTCAAAAAAAAAAAAAAAAAAAGAAACTGTAATTTGTTTTCAGAGTTTACACAGCTGTTTCAAAATGTCTGTCAAGCATGCAAGCTACAAGGCCTCCAGAGCAGTTAAGGTAAGGGGGAGGGGGACTCAGACAATTTGGGAAGCTTTACTGGAGGGCCAAGAAATGAAATAAGAATCAAATCTACACTCTTGGACACTTGAGGAAGTGATAGCTGCTAGAAGTCTAACCGTGGAAAGGGTCCAGAAAGCAGCCTGGTAGAATGGGGAGCTTAATAGATGAGAATCTACAAGTTCAGTAAGTCACAGACTACAATAGACAGAAATCAGTTGTTTTTGTATATGAGCAATGAAAAATCCAAAAAGCAAGAAAATTCCATTCATAATAGCACCAGAAAGGATTTAGTACTTAGTAAATTTAACAAAAGAAGTATAAGATTTGTGGGGCTCCTGGGTGGCATAGTCAGTTAAGCATCTAAATCTTGATTTCAGCTCATGTCCTGATCTCAGTGTCTTGAGATATGAGCCGTGGGTCAGCTCACACGGAGTACGGCATCTGCTTGAGATTTGCTGTCCCTCTTCATCTGTCCCTCTGGCTCCTGCTCTCTTTCAAATATTTTAAAAGGGGGTGGGGGGGGCAGGCACCTTGGTGGCTTAGTCCAGGTAAGTGTCTGACTCGGTTTCTGCTCAGGTCATTGTCTCAGGGTTGAGAGATCAAGCCCCATGTTGGGCTCAGCACTCAGTGTGCAGTCTGCTTGAAGATCTCTTTCCCTCTCCTTCTGCCTTCCTGCTTGTGTGCTCACTCTAAAATAAAAAATCCTTAAAAATAAATAAAAGCGTAAAACTTACAGAGTGAGAGGCGCCTGGGTGGTTCAGTTGGTTAAGCGTCTGCCTTCAGCTTGGATCCTGATCCCAGGGTTCTGGGATCAGGCCCCGTATCAGGCTCCCTGCTCAGCAGAAAGTCTGTTTCTCCCTCTCTCTTTCTGCCTCTCCTCTGCTCATACTCTCTCTCAAATAAATAAAAATAAACATCTTTTTAAAAGTTGTATAATGAGGGGCGCCTGGGTGGCTCAGTGGGTTAAGGCCTCTGCCTTCGGCTTAGGTCATGGTCTCAGGGTCCTGGGATCGAGCCCTGCATCGGGCTCTCTGCTCAGTGGGGAGCCAGCTTCCTCCTCTCTCTCTGCCTGATTCTGTCTGCCTACTTGTGATCTCTGTCAAATACATAAATAAAATCTTAAAAAGGAATAGTATTAAAAAAATAAAACTTGTATAATGATTCTATGAAACAGAAACATTAAAGAAGGTATAGAGATATTCCATGTTTATGAATTAGAAGTTTCGATTGTTAAGATGATAGTCCTCCCCACATTGCTAATAGATCACTGCAATCCCTCTCAAAATTCCAGTAGGCTTTTTTGAAATATTTCAAGCTGACCCTAAAATTTCTAGGGAAATAAAAAGGATTTCCAAAATATCCAAGACAATTCTGAAAAACACTTCCTGATCTCAGAACTTACTACAAAGCTACAGTAATCAATACAGTATGATACTGATAGGCATAAAGATCAGTGCCCCAGAGGTTCAGCTGTGAAGATGGCCAAGTAAGAGGATGTTAAGCTCTTCTTGCCCCACGGATACAAGTGGGTAACACATCAGTATAAACCCAAAACATGACCTGAAGCCTGGCAAGATAAACCCCACACCTAAATAAATGGTAGAGAAGAGGCCACATAGAAGAAGGTAGAAAGGGCCATGATGTGGTCTGGGAGCAAAGCGGACTAGGGCCATCCCCAGTGGGAAGGGAGCCTGTAGCACAAAGGACAGAAAACCAACTTTCACACTGGGGAGCCCATAAATGGGGAGGATGAATCCCCATAATACTCACCTTTGAAAGTGAGAGGGGCCAATTTCTTGAGTTCTTCCAACCCATTGGGACTTCAAAGGCTGGAATTTTTAAATCAGTGGCCTCAATTCCAGGAGAGCCTGGAGGGTATTAGGAAGCAGAGTTCCCATGCCTAAAGAATCTGGACAGATGCAGCACAGAACCAGTAGTTCGACAAACACCAGGGGTAGATTGGAAGGAGAAGGATTTGTTCATCTCAGAACATGGCCTGGAGAGAGGGATCACAGGGAGACCCATCCAGAAACAAAGGAGCCGGCAGGTTCCATATCCCTCCATCCCCCACTGCCCCCCACATAAACGATGGGTGCCTGCAGGAATCATTGCAGCACTAACATTTATCACTGAACTTGGCTTACACGAAGCCCCACCCCCACACTTCTGTGAATCCACCCTTCCCAGTCACGGTCACCTTAGTCCAGTCACTGTGGGCCCCCTCTCCAAGAAGACTAGTGGAAACATTGCCAACACCACATCTGACTGGCACATTGTGCAGAAATTCCGATCTGGGAGCTGGTCTCATTTCACTAGCAGACCACCACACATCTTGCTAAATGCTGCCCACAACAGGCAAACATAGCCTCTGCAGACAACTGGACTGAAGAAAAAAAAAGAGGGCAAGACAACAGTAGAGCACACACAACACCCATAGGAGACATTCCCTGAAGCACCAGGCCCCGGAGAACAACCACACTGCACCAAAAGACCTCTTCTATATGAGGCTATTGTAGTTAAGAGCAAGAGAAGTAGCTGACTTTCCTAACACAAAGAAATAGACACAGGAAGTAAGACAAAACAAGGAGACAGAGGAATAGCTCTTAAATGAAAAAACAGGAACAAACCACAGCACAAGATCAAAGCAAAATAGATATAAGTGATAGGCCAGATAAAAAATTTAAAGTATGATCATAAAGATACACATTAGACCTTAGACAAGAATGAAGGACATCAGTGAGACCCTTAACACAGATAAAAAGGAACTAATGAGAGATGAACAACACAATAAATGAAATTTAAAATACACTTGATGCAACATATAGCAGTCTAGATAAAGCAGAGGAAATAAAAATAACGACTTGAAGACAGTAATAGAAAGTAACCAAGCTGAACAAAAGAGAGGAAAGAAAATTGTGCAGATTGAGAATAGTCTTAGAGAATTCAACGACTCCATTAGTGTAATAATATTTGCATTATAGGGATTGCAGGAGAAAGAAAGGGTGGCAGAAAATTTATTTAAATAATAGCTGAAAAATTCCCTACACATCCAGGAGGCACAGAAATCTCCCACATAACCTACCAAATTCAACCCAAGGAATTCCACATCAAGACACGTAATTAAAATGGCGAAAAGCAATAAGGAAAAAAAAATTGCAGTTTTTTCAGCAGAAACTTTGCAGGCCAGAAGGGGTAGCAGGATATATTCAAGATGCTGAAAGGGAAAAACCTAGAGCCAAAAATATTCTATCTAGCAAGGATGTTGTTCAGAACATAAGGAGAGATAAGAGTTTCTCAAAAAAGGAATTCATGACAACTACTAAACCAGCTCTATAAGAAATATTAATGGGGACTCTGAGTGGAAAGGAAAAACCTTAGGTTGAGAGCATGAAATGTAGGAAAATGCAAAAGCAGTAAAAATAAGCATTTCTGTTAAAAAAAAAAAAGGTCTGTCAAGGCTGGTGACTGGGTGGCTCAATCATTAAGCGTCTGCCTTCAGCTCAGGTCATGATCCCAGGATCAAGCCCCACATCGGGCTCCCTGCTCAACAGCAACCCCGCTTCTCCCTCTTCCACTTCCCCTGCTTGTGTTCCCTCTCTTGGTGTGTCTCTCTCTGTCAAATAAATAAATAAAATATTTGGGGGGAAAAAAAATCAGTCAAGGGATTCACACACACACAAAAAAAGATGTAAAATATGATACCATATACCTAAAATTTGTAGGGGGAAAAGAGTAAAGAATAAAGAATGTTTGAACTTAAGTGACCATCAACTGCTATATGCAGAAGATACCTAATGTTATCACAAATAAAAAAACAGTAACCAATATCAAAGAATAAAAAGAAAGGAATTCAAGTACATCACTGAAGAAAGCCGATAAACCATGAAAGCAAGGATAAAAGAAAATCTACAGAAACAACAAATAAGCAACAAATTGGCAATAATTACTTACCAATAATTACTTTGAACATAGTGACTAAACACTCCAAATCAAAATTTATAGGGTGATAGAGTAGATTAAGGAAAAAAAAAAGATGCATCTCTCTGCTGCCTATAAGAGACTTGTTTCAGAGTGGTAGACACCTGTATACTGAAAGTAAGGGGATGGAGATACATTTATAAAGCTAATAGATGTCAAAAGAAAACTGGAGTAGCAATACTTAAATCAGACAAAATGGGCTTTAAAATGAAGACTGTAACAAGAGACAAAGAAGGACACTATATACCAAGAAAGGGGATAATCCAACAAAAGAATACAATAATTGTACGTATTTATGCACCCAACATGGGAGCACCCAAATAAATAACAGGTATAACAAACACAAAGTAATTGATAGCAATATAATAACAATAAGGGACTTTAATACCTCACTCACACTGATGGACAGAACATCCAAACAGCAAATCAATAAGGAAACAATGACTTTGACACACTGGACCAAATAGATTTTACAGACATATTCAGAATATGCCATCCTAGAAGAACAGAATACACATTCTTTTCAAGTGCATATGGGATGTTCTCAAGACTAGATCACATTGTTGTGGCCACAAAATAAGTCTCAACAACAACAATAAGAGAACAAAATAAAAAACAAAAGTTATATCTTGCATCTTTCCTACCACAACAGTATGGAAATCCATCACAAGAAA